TTTTATTTCTTTTGGTATATTGATGGCCAAGGAGATTTCATCGGGGGGGGGGGCTTTTGGGAATTTGAGGAATAAACAATATTGCTGCCAACATGGGATAATGGAAACTTTTGTGTTGAGGTCGGTGTGTATTAAAGAGATGATAAACCGAATAGGCAATGTTAATTTTTTATTCATTTCTATTTGTATTTGATTTTCATTGATCATTCAGTTTTTTAATTTTAACTTTGTTATTTATTCTTTTAGTCACTTCTCAAGTCATTTCATTTGGAAAATAAGATTGAATCTTCTTCTTTTTAAAGGTCAGAATGGCACTACACATGATTAGCATAACGTGGACTTCCTGTGTGATAGATATGAAATGTGGAGTGGAAATTTTGTGAGAGTTCTACCAGTACGGGCGTGTGGTAAGAGTGTGGTTCTGGTGGCATACGCCAAAACCCAAACGTCATCCATGCTCTAACAGGCCCAGTTATAGGAGTATTTACCGTGTAAAGCCTAGGTCCCAACTATGTTTTGGACGCACGGTTTTTAGGTTCCTTGCGTCCGGCTGGGACGTAGCTAGATCGCACGTAACGGCTGTTGATCATGTCAAAAAGTTTCTACATGCTGTTTGCGTCCTCCAAAAGTCGCGTCATGGACGTGCTCCTCACGCACGAACTCCCACATTTTCCCCATTTTTTGGGCCGTAGACCACACGTAGCAGCCCGTACGTTCTGTTGGTACCTAGGCTTAACTCCTGTTACTGGCCTGTGGTATGAAGGCGCAACATATGGACCAGTTTTTGCTGGGATGAAATTTGCACAAAAAAATTTATCTGAAATTTATTTAGCTGAAAGAATTTTTGTCCATTCACCAAAAACAAATTGAGTAAACAAAATGAGTTTAATAATGCCACTGGTTCAATCTGAACAAGTTTTATTAAGGTTGTCTCTCAAGGTGGAAAGCTTGTTAGTGTGAACATTGACCTAGATATAATAACTAGGTCAGTGGCCTAGAAAATATATTTAGGTCATTGGTGTGAGCCAGCATGGACATACTGCGTATCTAGAATATGATCTCTTCCTTTAGCTGAAAAACCCCATCTTGTCAGCCTGGGTTGCAGTAAGTTTGTAAGGGGGCTATGCCGTAAGATATCACAGACCTGAACACAAACCCAAACACATACAATACAAACAGTCCAGTTTTTTATAAAGTTCGGTTGGAGGTTCTGTAAGAACCTTTTCTTCTTATTTCTCATGGTAATTTTGTTTGTAATCTGTGCAGCCTAGAAGTCATAACATGACATAGGTATTCCAAGCAGCTTCTAAACAGTACCAGACACACCAAGCCAAACCAGGACAGTGATGATTATTTCCCCTCACCCATTTGTGCACTGGCTTCTTTTCAATGGGAGCAAGTCTTCAACCAGATGAGTTTTTGTTTTTTTAAGAGAGAGTGGAAGAAAGACATTTAGCTGAATGGCTAAGATATTACTTTTTGGCACAAGTTGCCTCCCCCCCCCCCCCCCCCCCCCCCAAACACCACCAATTTTTATTACCAATCAATTACCAAAAATGTAAAATTGGTAAATATTTTTAGCCTAAAGTCATTTTGTCAGTGGTTCTATAATGAGTATCTTTGGGGCATTAACTGTAAAATGCAGACGATGATAATTTACAGGCGCGGAAGAAAAATGCCAAGTATGTTACAGGTACATAACTTACAAAACTACCCTACAACGATCATCGGCTGTGAATGAAATTTGGAAGAGACTTGGTGGTTCTTGTCAAGAAATGGAAGGTGTTATTAGTAAACACTGGGTGGAAATTGTAAATAAAATCTGTTTGGGTTGTTCCACCATCAAGATTCAGTTAAGCTCATTTGTAGTGCCCACACAAAAAGGATTCCGTGGAATTTGGCATTTATATATTCACAGACTGTATAGTAATGTTCTAATGCCAGCTTGCACTTTCTGAACTCTTTAAGAATCCTAGTTTCTGTTTGACATGTCATATTATGCCATTTGGTACTCTCACTTAAATTTCCTCCATTTTCCATTAAATCGGTCTCAGTCCAGTCTCAAATACATCAACTTCACCCCCCCCCCCCCTTTCAAAAAATAGAGAGAGAGGGAGGAGGGATCTAAATCTTGCAAGGAAATCCAAGTTCCACATGGCATCGTTGTAAGCTTTAATGCTGCACAGCACAGCTAAATATCTTCCTTTTTTTTTTTTAAACTCTTGAACGTATAACTGATAATGCCATCTGAATTCATACTGGAGAGACTTGCGCCATTGGGAAGAAGCATCTTTCTTGGTTTGGAAGCTGTACTATAACATTAATAAATGATAATAAGTTGACTTTGTTCTAATAATCTCAATGTTGCTGTCATGTACGATTGGCACTGGAGCCATTATGGTGGAATATCACAGTTCATCAAAATAAAAGCTTCAAATATTTTGTTGGTACTTTTTATTATTGAATTTGTGTATTTGGCATACCAAAGCTTTATTGTTAGAAAAACAAAAATGGTTACCCTGAATTTAAAGGGATAATAACTCTTCGTTTCGGCCAAAAAATCAATTTTCCTGGAGTAAACAACAATTTTCCCATACTTACCAATGGTAAATGAATCCATTTTTACATTCAAAGTTAGTCTCTGGTTTTTTTCTAAAAAGTTTGGTTTTTTGTTAAAATCTCTTAAGAGATTTTAACAGAGTATAGCCATCAATGGAGGTCATGTGGTCTAAAGACAAGCTCAGATATCAGAATAATAGCTGTAACTGCAGTTTTTGTGGTACAACAGAATATATTATATTTCTGTGAGTTATTCACAATGTTTTTATTGGGAAATATAGATCTCATACGAAGAGTTATTATCCCTTTAACCTCCTTCAACATTTAATCCAAATTCTAGCCATTTTAAAAATGTTCACTAAAGAAAAAGAAATCTGATGCTTGTAAGGGAGTTTCAGTTGCCATTTTAAAATAGTTGCCACAAAGTTCTTTATCTTTAAAACATTTACAGCTTCATACAAATTAATATTCTTGAAATTCTGTAGGAAGTATCAAAAACGTGAACGGGCAGTAAGGCCAATACATTGTGACTGATGGACGTAAAAGTCTTAAGTTTTTTTGTTTTTTTTTTCAATGCTTTTTCACATTTACACTCTGGTACATGCTCACTTAATCATTACTATTGGATGAATCCAAACCCTTAAATAAATCAAATTTCAAAGTCCTTGATAACTGCTTTTGATGTCTTTGCCATTTAGTTATCAAATATTGTTGTTATTGCACATAAAAGAAAAACACTTCAAATACCACGACATACATCCAGGACAAGGTGGCAAACAAAAAGTTTCATCGGTTTTATTTTATCAGTTTTCTAGGCACTATCCAGGGAACAAAACCTGGAGAGCTGTACAATAAATTATTTGTGGAGAACCTAGAGTCAATAAGTTCTAAAAGGATGAAATGTACAATTGTTCTGGAAAATTCCATATGCTAGCTTTGTAAACCCTTGATGTCACAGTAGCTTGTACCTTCTTTTACGAAAAAAAAAATTGTGGGGAGGGGAAGATTTGATGTTATTCATTGAAAGTTTAAATAGCTGTCCCAGCAGGCAAACGACATTGATTCTACGTTGATTCAACGTTGATCCACCAAAATTAACGTCGATTCAACGGTGAATCAATGACATTTGTCTGCTGGGTGTGGTCACACGGAAAATTTCAAAGGGAAAATGGCATCCCCCCCCCCATTTACCAACCTTAGTAACACGGATCAAATACAGCTGACCCACTTGAAAGCTTGCCGTATAATCCCCCAATGGACACTGAATAGATTGTCCAAGGGGATTATACAGTAAGCTTTCAAGTGGGTCAGCCATGTTTGATTGGATTAGTCTGTGGATCAACTTTGGTTGTGAATGAGGTCTCAAATATTTTTGCTGCGTACAACTACCAGGTCTGTACTTTAAAGCCTGAAGTAGAATGGAAGTCTTGTGCACTTTTCAAAAAGGGGTTTTCACTTGATATTTGATAAAAAAAAAGACTGCATAAAAGCTATAATCTTTACCTTGAACAGTAATTTTCTTATATTTGCATTTATAGATTTTCTTCAGATTCTGTTTAAATATTGTCATTGTTGAAACAAACCAATGAAACAGAGAACTTTTGACTCGCTTCACTTGCCTCCATTTCACATATTTTCATACATTTCAATACTGTGGATCCAGAAATAATTAAAATATCAACTGAATTGTACTACAACCACTCCAGTCCCTGAGATGTTTAGAGATTTGAATTCCGTTGAGATTATTTAACAAAACATGATTCTTTGTTAAAGTAAGAGAACCTCTCTAATGAGACTACACATATTTTCTACCTACGAGACACAAGTTATAAGCCCATCCTTCAGCTGACCATTGACTATTCTACCAACACAACATCAAACAATGAAAGACATTCATCATATTGTTTTTATTCACAATTCCATGTCAGTTGGTATTCACTCCCTTAAACCAAATTCTGTTCAATGTCTTGTGATAATGTCACAGACCACTGTATTTTCACAAATTTTCTCATGAAAATCTGCAACTTGGTAACAATGCTGCTGATATATTCCTGCTAAAAACTGTTGGACCTTTGGATATAACCCATCATTTATGTTAAAGATGGTAACAACATAGTTATCAGGTCTACATAACAATGACTAACCTAAAATCTACTTTCAGGCAGCAAAGACCATTTTTTCTGGGTTTTGAGGATATCACAATTCATGGTAATCAGAATCTGAAGACCTTCACGGTGACCATGACCATCTTGGAATCTGAGGCCCTTCCAGGTGACCATGACAATCATCTTGAATCTAAGGGCCTTTTTTGTGGCCATGACCATCACCTTAAATCTGAGGACCTTTATGGTGGCCATGACCATTATCATGTGGTATGATAACAGTATAATATCAGCCAAAGGTGAGAAACATTTTTTTCTTATTCTTGTCCATTATTTTTAATGCAGCAATCTAAACCATTTCTGAAAATTTTCCAATTAGTCATCTTGATAGGCAAGAACTAATTCCACCATCTCCAGACATGAACGTTGTCCTCCTAACCACGCTGTTTTATGTCCCAAACTTATGTTTCACCAATGCTGGTGGCAGCCCCTCCGTCATTGAAGATGGCGTCCTCTCTACAACAACTAAATAGTTGTCTCCCACAGTCTCCACATGCATCAGATACTGGAATACATAAAAAAAGATGTGACAATTTTGGTGACATAAAAGCCCATAAGTCGTTTATTCTATATTTAAAACTTTTTTTTATTTTGTGATACTAAACCACTTACATAAACAATACCCCTCCCACCTTACAAGAATACATCAATAACTGATGCAGTATTAACTGAATGGCAACTGAGTTGATCAATATTATCAGATATATCCAGTTGAAGTCATATGTAAATATTAAAATTTACCACTGAACTTACAAGTATAACAACAGAGGGCACTGGCAGATCTGTCAGTTACTTCTATAGCAGTATATGTCATCAACTAAGAATGGTTCTAAATTAATACTTTAATGCAATAGTAATCTTTATCATTATTATTATTATTATTATCATCTCTTAGAAACCAAGTCTTAATAACCAAGCTGGGAATACACCCTATTTTTTGCAATCTAGTGCTAATTAAGTACCCTATTAGTGAACAACGATTTATTTCTGTTGATGTTACCTTCTGTACAGGAAGAGACAGCAGTCAAGTGACTTACATTTAATTGGTATAAAACATTAAATCTAAGTGGAAGGATGAGGAAAAATTGATATGGCAGGAAATCCCATACAGAATACTTTTAGCAGTAGATATATACTACAGTAAAACAATCAGAAAGGTTGCAGAAGGACAAGGGTGGTCAAAGTTTGGTTAATAGCAATGACACTAGCAGCATTTTTTGTACCTAAAGCCAGTAACCAAACCACACATAGAAAACAGTGAGCAATGGGGACCAAGCAATTGTATAGACTATTACAATTACCAATTAACTTCAAACCTTTCATTTATTCTTATAACATCTTATCTGAATGGTAATGAGTATGTGGAAAACACCGAGAAACAAGTTGTACTT